ATATGCAGCCAAGGTTGAGAGCCACTGTCCTAGTCCCTTCAGCATGCTAATTAACACTAGCAATCACTAATGCTCACTTAGCATTTATTTACCAAGCACTGCTCTCAGTAATTTATTTAATCATCACCAAAATCCTATGAAGTAGGTGCTACTATTCTTCCCATTTTACTCATTTGGAAACTACAACCCAGATAGGATGATGGTATGTCTGTGTAGCACGTGTAGCTGTCTCCCTGAGTAATAGCTTCACCCAGAAGGAAACAAACCATCCCCTCACAGTCAAGAGTTCTGGCTCCAGGTTTAGATTCTGCCCCGACCTCCCTATATTTCCTGGGACAAGTCATATGATAAGTCATTCTCTGCCTTCGTTTACTGGGCTGCGAGATGGGTGTAATGCCTTTTCCTCCTCTCAGCGAATAGTTGTTTCATAGACTCAGTGAGATGACAGACTTGAAAATGCTTTTAACAGAGTAGACGACACCATGAAGATGCCTGGTCATGTTATTTTTTATTAACATTTATGTGTGAGACCACTGTCTAGTCAATGTCAGCGTTGGGGGTTTTAGAATGATCCCAATCCCTCACTTGGTTAAGGAATTTCCAACTCTCTAAAAAAAAAAAATTAATTAATAGTCTTTGTTTTATGTAGAAGGACGGAGGGCCATGCTGAGTTTCCAAATGATGAAGAAACGAAAAAGGAACAATATGGGAGTCCCTGCCAAGAAGCATACATACCTATCCCAGCTGTCAGCACAAGGAGCAGACCTTAAAGCAACAGAGAGAACAATGAGCTGGAGGAACGGGTCTGCGGACACAGCAGCCTTTCCACACGGTGCTTCACGCACAGTAGCATGTTTCCTACGCTTTACTCTGAGTCCTTTTAACACCTCTGTACCCTCCAACCTTCTGAGGCCGATAAAGTCCTGAGGTTTCTCCTAGAAGCCCACTCCCCTCTACTCCCACTCACAAGACCACTAAAGGGCCATGAGCCTTGAGGCTTGGGGAAGGGAGGGGACCGCAGAGCAGTGGGAGGAACAGTGTCCCTGTGCTTTCCCCAAAAGGATCATCTCTGGCGATTGGGTTGAGTTAAAAGGTTTTAAAGGGGCAGAAAAGCAGGAGGGAGAGAGTGGCCCAAGGGCACAGAGTGGCGGTGGTTCCTTACCAGTGAGGAGGGTGAGCTTGGCCATCTTGCCTCAGTGGTAGAAGCTCCCTTGTTCAACCTGCCTTTTATACCCGCCTCCTGTGACTTATCAGTTTCTCATTTGTCGTAATTGCCTCCAAAGTCAATGTTGGTATTGGTAGTACTCAAAAACCTCAAACCCATTTAAGAACCCATTATTGACAGGGAAACCATATTATCTTGATTTTACTGTACAAGAAGAAAGGATTGGGCTCAAGCCCAGTCACCATACTAATAAGCTCCATTACGGAATAGCTTACATAATTCAAAATGGTTTTGCACAGTGGGCTACACTCTCTGTGTGGATAGCGCTAAGTGACTATTTCACCCTCATCTATTGGTAGCAAACGGTTTCCACGGTCCTTTACAGAATCAGGTTAACATGCTCTCACTCTATCTCTTTCCCCTGATGCTAGAATATCTAACAGCCTTTTCAAAAAATAGAATAAATGTCCAGATACTCAAATTTCCTATGTACATTTGTCTAGAATGCATTTGCCAGAAGACTAGTCTGCACTCTGAAGATGTTCCTTCCTTGTTTCCCTTTTCACAACTGTTATTCTCCTCCTGTTTGGAGGAGCTTCACGCACAGTAGCATGTTTCCTACGCTTTACTCTGAGTCCTTTTAACACCTCTGTACCCTCCAACCTTCTGAGGCCGATAAAGTCCTGAGGTTTCTCCTAGAAGCCCACTCCCCTCTACTCCCACTCACAAGACCACTAAAGGGCCATGAGCCTTGAGGCTTGGGCAGAATTTGAAATGTTTTCCCTCCAATGAGGCAGCCAATCAACAGATGCAGATCTTTGTGAGACCCTCATGGGCAAGATCATCGCCCTTGAGGTTGAACCCAGTGACACCATTGAGAATGTTAAAGCCCAATTTCAAGACACGGAGGGCACCCTGCCCAGCCAGCAGCATCTGATTCTTGTGAAAGAACAGCTAGAGGATGGCCACACTCAGACTTTACCATCCAGAAAAAATTCACCCTGAACCTGGTGCTTTGCCTGCCAAGTGGCATTAGTGAGCCTTCCCTCCTCCAGCTCATTCAGAAATGCAACTTCCACAAAATGATCTGCCCCAAGTGTTTCCTTGCCTGCACGTCTGCACCATTAAATGTTACAAACCACCACCAACCTCCACCCTAAGAAGAAGGTCAAATACATGCCCTCCAGCCCTGCAGGGTGGCCTCCTGCATAAGCCCCATGGGTGTGAGGTCTCAGTAAAGGTTCCCTTTAGTTAGTTGACTAGAGTAGTAAAAAAAGAAGAAAAAAAGTAGGTTTAAACTTAAATACACCAGTAATTACATTAAATGTAAATGGACTAAACATTCCAGGTTGTCAATATATCTTCTTGTTTAAAAAATGCTTAAGTATATGTAGGACTTAGCATATGGGAAATCAGGCAGGACGTGTTTTTTTTGTAAAAGCATTCTTCCAGGAAAATGTGAGCCACAAATTGGAAGGAAGAAAGGGAGGAGGCACAATTCCTGCCTTCTATAACCTTACAGTCAATACTGCACTTAGAGTAAATACCAGAGGAATGCACCTGTTTCAAGCTATTTATTAATGTTCATTCACTTATTTGATCATGACCTACACTGTGTTAGGTACCATGTGAGTGCGGGACTGTTTGCGTAAACAAGACACAGGGCTCACTATCACTGCTGCAGGCAGATAATGAAAGAGGAAATTATGACCTGTTGAATTAAGTGCTATCAGACAAGTTAGTCCAGAGTAACTGTTAGAACCAACTAAAAAGGAGACCAGCTGGATGAGTGGGCAGCTACGCATCTGGATTTAAGGGTTCCAAAGAAATGGGCAGAGGTAGGTGGAGAGAATCAAGATGTTTTTGGAGAAGATTGCTTTTAGAATATCCAGCCTGGCCTGGGAGTGAGAGGTGGTCTCATGGCGTGGTTGCACCAAAGGACAGCCCAGGGTGTGGGAAAGGTCACAGACACCAGAACCACACTGCCAGCTTTCCAATGCATTTCCAAGGTGCAGGACTCTATGCTATTTCTCAGCCTTCTGTGCCATGTTCCTGAAAGTGGGCATCATCACCATGCCTGACTAGAGCAGTGGTTCTCAACCTTCTGGCCCTTTAAATACAGTTCCTCATGTTGTTACCCAACCATAAAATTATTTTTGTTGCTACTTCATAACTGTAATGTTGCTGTTATGAATCGTAATGTAAATATCTGATATGCAGAATGGTCTTAGGCGACCCCTGTGAAAGGGTCATTCGACCGCCAAAGGGGTCGTGACCCACAGGTTGAGAACCGCTGACCTAGGGGGTCTTATGAAGATTCAGCGAGTGGATGTTTCTATGGGGCCTGCCCATCAAGTGCCCTTTATAAGTGTTGGCTTTATAAATAAAGCAGCAGGAAGGGACTTGGAGTGAGGACTGGGGGAATACCAGGAGTGACTTCCTTCCCGCAGAGCCAGGGCAATGAGATAAGGAGCCATTCGGGTGTGTAGACTCTTAAGATGAAGACACCAACCCAGACATGTACAAAGGCTGAAGTGCAAGCCACAGGGACCCCAGGGAGGCCTGGGGAACCAATAGTCAGAAATGCTTTTGTGGCTGTGAAATATGTGCTAAAGATGTCAAATCCATGAGAAATTAAGCTCAAGTTCTCGTTTTGTAGTTAGCTTACAGAATGGCTGAGTCAGCACTTGGTGCAAATCTGGGGACTTCTTTGCTGCCGACTTATGAGGACATTCAGTACACAATGGGACATCTGGTCAACAATTCTGAGTCCCTTCACTTAATTCACCATCCAAGCCCAGACACACATGAGAGTGAAAGGGGCATCAGAATTGTGTAATTTTTAAAATGTTTATTTGTAATTGGTATTTTTGTTACATAAATGAACGTAGCACCTTAAGTACCGCTCAGTTTTCTCGTGTTTCGCGCTCCATCTGTTATGGGCCTTAGATGTCAACACACTGTCTTGTCCACTGTGGGGCGCCGTTACAGTGTTTTGGCCAGGTTCAAGCCTCGGACTAATGAAAGGACAGGGTCCTCTCACTGCCACGTACAAGTCCCAGCTGGAAGGCAGGGCCCTCCCAGCACAATCATAGCCAACGGCTGTGGTTGTAAGCTTGAACCTATGGTCCGAACATGTAGCCCCACGTGCCCTGTGATAGAGTTCAGGCGCATGTAGTTGAGTAGGCTTGAGACTCACCAGAATGCTGTAAACAACGTGATCACGCCCCTACTTTGCCTCGTGGCATCTGCTATAAAATAAAGACACGGCTTGTGGGCGCTGGCGTTGTCTCCTCTTCAGGGAACAGCGTCCCACCGAAACCCAGCTATTATCCTCTTATCTGACTTTCCTTAATCC